AATCACCCCGAAACCATCCCCTATCTTGGTCCGTGGAAAAATCGTCTTCCACGAAACCAGTCCCAGGAGCCAAAAAGGTTGGGGACTGCTGCTTAATACATACAGTTCCATAATTAGCTCAAATCCAGAACATGTAAAGAACACCTACAAATCTATAAGACAAAGACAACACAATATAAAAACAGCCAGACACTTAAACCAGGAATTTCATAAAGGAGTGGCCAATCACTATATGACATGATATTCAACTTCATTAGTAATCAGGGAAATGGAAATTAAAACCACTGGGGTAACACTGCACAACAAACAGATCAGCCAAAACAACAGTATGGGGAGGATGCTAAGCAATGGGGACTCTCATATTCCACTGGTGGTTGTGCAAAGTCATATGGCTTTTAAAAATATTAAAAATACACATACCTTATGACCTGGCAATTCCACTCATATACATATATCTCTCTCTATATATGTATATACACCCATCAGAAATATGTGCAATGTTTATCAAGAGACATATGAAGGAATGTCCACATCAATATTATTTATAATGGCCCCAAACAGCAGAATGGATTATTTGTGGTGAGTTCATACAACTATACTGTACATACAGTCTATATACATCATACAGTAACAAAAAATAATTACAGCTATATTTACAAACATGACTTTGAGTGAAAAGTACTGAACCTAACAGGATACTTAGCTGTACAGTTCCATTTATGTAAATTTCAACAAGACCAAAACCACAACAAAACAGAGACCAGGCAAAAAAACCACAGTATCTCAGAGGCTGGAACAGGTGGTAAACTATAAAGATAGAAAGCGACCAATATAAAAAGGTCAAAACTGTGGTTATTTCTACGGCTGGGGAGATAAGAAATAGTGACCGGGAAAGGCATGCAGGGTTTCTGGGGTTCCTGGTAATATTTTCTTTCTTGACCTGGGTGGCAGTTACATGGGTTGTACATTTCTGTTTTCTTTTTTTACATTTTTCTAACATGTGCTGGGTTTTATGAGAAAAAGATTTAATGAAAGAATTACATGATGCA